ACACTACACCCCCCATTTCCCGTAAGCTACAATACAGATATTGGATAAGACTTTTCAAGACAATAATAATTGGATTTAAGTTACGTTATTGAGTATATTTGAATTTTTATAATAAATAAAGAATTCAACATTTTAATTTATTAAATATCAAATACGAAATTCGAATTTCGAATTCAAAATTTTATAAATAAAATTTGAATTTCGAACATCAAATTCAAAATTTTATAAATCGAATTCGGTAATTTTATATTGAACTAGCAGTCGCCCGCGACTCTGTCTGCGCATAATTAAAAAGAAAGCTAAATAAATAGTCTACGAGTTCTTCCAGACGAATATAGTCCATCCATCCATCTAAACATTGGCATTTATAATATTAGTAAGACATTTTAATTATTAAATATAGAATTCCACATTTCAATAAAAATCAAATACGTAATTCGAATATCAAAATTTGATTTTTTTTTTATTTTTAACTAGCAGTCGTACGCGACTACGTCTGCGCTGAATTAAAATAAGTGACCTGTTCTACATCTATGCCAAATTTTATTAAGATTTAATGATGCGTTCCGGAGATACATTCATATAAACATTCGCATTTATAATATTAGTAAGATTTTATATTTACAAATTTATATATTAAATATAAAAACAGTGAAAAAGTGTGAAGGCATTATTTTATAAAAAAAAATGGTTATAAATAGTCGAATTTAATAAGAGAAAAATAAACAACGAATAAAATTATCTCAATTAATGACATCCGCAATACCAGTGATACTGCAGTTAGGTTGCAGACTTCTGAGAAGCTAAAGTCTTGGAGCTAGGCCTTAGAGTCTAGTCGATCAGTGAACATCGCACGAATATTTGCGACAAGCTTCATCGTCATTTATGTCAAAAAGCAATTGTCGCCCGCGATTCCGTCCGCGGGGAATTAAAAAAAAACATAATAACCCTATATGTTCTTTCAGACTATTTTTTTTATAAGAGAAGGCGGCAAACGAGCGGCGGGAACACCGATGTGATCAACGACGCCCATGGACATCAGCAATACCAGAGGAACCGCAGATGCGTTGCCCCGGCCTTTGAGATGGTAATACGCTCGCTTGTTGAAGGACCCTAAGTCGTAGCGGTAGTTTTTGAGTTTTAATCCTTAATAGACATCGTAATTTCGATCTGGATAAAATTGACTTTATAAAATGATTCAACGGGCGCACGAATGCCGACGGAACGGGACTAATAAAGCTTGTACTTTTTGCAACGACTACGTACAAGTATTTTGTTGTATCACTGATTAACCTTGTATAGATAAATTATTTTTCTTAGCTAAAGCTGAATAATAGCAACATAAAATGATATACGAATTTGCTATTTAATTCTATCAGGCGCTAAAAGAATACGAATGAGAAATGTATTAACCATAGTCGTATTTAACAGTTGAATATTCATAGAAGTTAAAAATGTTGTTAAAGAATATACATACATACAAACTAGTAATAATCTTCTACCAAGACCTGCTTCGACTTTCCGCCGACGGATAAAATAAAATAGCATTGTTAAAGCAATAATAAATTACGAATTCTAATTTAAATTACGGTTGGAGATGTATGTTTATGTTAAATCTTACTTCTTGTAAATTAATTATCTATTTAATTGTGTTTTAATTAAAAGATTAAAATTAATCCAACATCTTTTAACGTTTTATTATTTTAAAACAACATAATTGTCTTAAGCCTCGTTAAATTGTTTAAAAAACAATTTTCGAAGTCAAACAAAACACGGCTAAAGCTTTCAAGATGACATTTACAGAGGGTAGTAATATTAAACGTTCCCTCTACCCTCCCTTGTAATATCACTGAGAGAGGGGTCGGGAGGGCACGGAGGAGGGTAAAAAGTGTATAAAATTGAAGCACAGGGCCACAATCGGATGATGCGCTTTTAGATACACGCTTCACTTGTGATATAGGGTTGTCACAAACATTTAAAAAGTATTTATTTTAATTTGTAACTAGACTCTCGCCCGCAACTCTGAATGAAAAAAAAAACTTAATTAGTTCCCGGTAATTATTCGAATTTTTCTCACTTATTAAACCTTTCCTAGACCTTCACGAATATGTCAAGACCAAGATACATCCGTTTAGCCGTTCTCAAGTTTTAGCGAGACTAACGAACAACAATTGATTTTTATATATAGATAATAACTAAAGGTTAAACTGAATATTTAATCTCATAATCAATGCCCTTATTGTTATTAGATTGGCATAGTACGTACCATACATTTCTATCAGCTTCAATCAGAATCCATCTCCTGTTTTTTTTTATAATAGAAGGGGGGCAAACGAGAGGCGGGAACAACGAGGTGATCAACGACACACACGGACATCTGCAACACAGAGGAACCGCAGATGCGTTGCCGGCCTTTAAGGAAATGGAATGCTCGCTTCTTGAAGTTGCCTAAGTCGTATTGGTTTGGAAATACCGCCGAGGACAGACCGTTCCACAACGCGACTTACACATATCTTTTTGCACAGAATATATACTTTCTTTGGTCTTCCTCTACCTTTGTCATCTTCAAAAACCAAATTATAGTGCCACTCACCCTGATGAAGGGTCCCTGATAGGCTTGAAACTAGACGGTGCCATCGGACGAATATACGTCAGTCTTTAGCCGTTTTTATATCAGTTTATTATAATGTCTCACGAAAGTTTGAATAAGTTAATAGTATTAATTCTGTTTTGTGACAGCCCTGTGCATTTCTTACCATTGACTTGGTCCCTCTGGTGATTAAAATTCCTCAATGTAATATCGCTGGTCATATATTAACTGTCCCAATCGACGGAACTGACATCCCGCGACAACTTGCCTTTGCCTTTCGCGTTTGTTTATTTTTTAACTGACAGGTGTCATGTCGTTATAATAAATTCAGAAATTAACACTATTAGATAGAAAATGAGTAATTCTAGGATTTATCTTTTTAATTTTAATTTATTATCTAGAAGTAAAAAGTTTTCGTCTATTATTCGTTTAGATTGAAAGATGAAATTAACTAAAAAATGCACGTCAAATTCCAATGGCGTTATATTTTGAAATGTCAAAACATTTTAAGTTAATTAATTTGTATTGTAGTGGTTAGTTATTTAGTAAGATTATATTTTAATTGTTTAAATTCATTTTAAAACATAGTGTTTACTTTACTTTTAAAATACAACTTCAAGAATTTTTGTAAAATGGATCGAATTGCTTCATTCCTGTTCATCTGTCAGTAGCATACGTCAGCTGTCATTATCAAAATCAAATTGAAATAAAATTAGTAATAAAAGTAGCTATACTGTGTTATATAGATATACAATATTAATATTATAAAGAGGAATAATTCGATACTTTGCATTGAATAAGCTTCAAAACTATTGAACACGGCTCTACATTACGTAAGCTTCAAGAACAGGCGAACGACAATATGGATGTTCTTTGCGATTGTCGATTAAATCGACGGAGGAGAGGATGCACAGAAAGAGAATATCTCCCCTTTCCTTGCATCTTCTCATCCGGAAAGTCCACTTCCACTTCCCATCCTTTCCTTATAAGAAAAAGGGTGGGAAGAGAAAGATGACTAAATTAGGCCTCCGGGACGCACATTCATCAGACTGTATTTGTAATTGCTTCCACTTCACGCCTGTCTTCTGTGTGTTCGTGCCATTCTAATTATTTTAAGTTATTGCAGGAGCTTTTTTTTTATATCATAAGGTGGCAAACGAGCGAGCTGCCACCCGAAATCGCTGAAGTAGCGAAGTGACCATTGCCCATAGACATACGCAATTGCATATGCGTTGCCTACCTTTAATCGACGGAGAA